CACACACACACACCCACGCACGCACGCAGGGTGTCGCGTCTGATTCCGACTGATTTCAAAAACGAATTTTTGGAAGGCAGCCGACACAGCCATACGTTGCCAAAAGTGACTGCGCGGGGATGGGCGGTTGGAAAAGGAGCGTGAATTGGGCGACACGCTGCCGCGCCCCAGCACGCGTTCTTCCAGGACAGCCAATGATACTCGGCTGCTGAAAATGAGCTGATATTCCCCCTCGCCGCCGCGCCGGAGCCCAGCCTCCGTCCGTGAGCGAAAGAAGGCTGTTCGACTCGCTTTGTAATCAGTGGTCATCATCGCTCCTCCACTTGGGCCGGTCAGCCCTTTTTTGCTGCTTCTGGCATGGATCGTGTGCTTGTTTGATGCTCCGAAGCACCGTCTCGGCACCTCCGCTTCCACCACAACCACAGAGTGAGCCTGCGGAGGAGCCGACAAGCAGCCATGTCTTCTGCATCGGAACAGCGCGATCTCTTCGGCGGTGCGATCACCGTCAGCCTCCCCAAGGGCTTTATCGACGCCAGCGACTTTCGGCAGGTTCCCGACAACCAGGAGGTTCTGGTTCGAGACGACTCGGATGTGAGCCTGATCATCGAGGTGCTGCAGCTAGCCACGGACGAAGGAGCCGGCGAATCCCTCGACAGGGCTGTTAGGTAAGTGCTGCTTCCTTGCTCGTCTGTCTGACCATGGCTTCTCATCGCAGCTGACGCTCGACTCGCTTCGATGCTGCAGATTCCACTTTGATTCGCTCGCCCACGACAATTCGGCCAGCAGCTCTTCGATCCAAGCGACCCAGATCCCCACAGAGCAACAAGCGCAACCACCCGCCACTCCGCCGCCTGCACTGCTCACCGGAACGCAGATCGTACGCAAGTTTGGCAAGTCTACCGAGCCCGAAGAGCAAGTCACCATCCGTGTCGCGCTTTGGCGACTCGCCTCCAAAAACATCGATCTCGTCCTCAGTGTCAACGAACCGGCCGGCGCCTCTTCATCACCACCGAACCAATCCGGCTTGGCACAGTCTGCGTTCGAGGCGGCAGCAGCCTCTCTGCAGATCCGTGATTGGGATCTTTTCGCGTAATGCGATTCCTGCATCAATGACCTCCTGCGTGTGTGTGTGGCTCAGATACGTAGACCGATCCATCCGAGCGCAGTGTCTGTGATGTAGCCTGCTGCTTGGTGAGCGCAAAGTTGATTTGGTGACTGCGACCAAAAATCGCCACGCCAGGGTCCAGGCTACTCAGCCGACGCGTGCAGTGTTCAAACGCTCTTTTGGGTGATTCACACGCAGCTGTGGCAGCGCGTCACCATTTCGTGCAGATCCCAGCAAATGCACGTCAGCTTTGGCCACCTTGAAAGTCCATCAATCGCACACCGCCGCTTGCTCCTCACACCCTACCCAATCCATCCGTCCGAATCCATACCGCAACTCACTCCAGTCCTCCCTGCGTTGGCTCGAGTTTGCTCTGGCACCAGCTTCATCCTCGGTCGGCAGGACACACCTCGCATCGTTCAACCTGACGAACTCAATCGCACCTATGCTGGCCGTCTCCCGAACCGGCGCATCCTCCTCCCTCGCATCCTAGCGCGACGTACGAGTGCACAGTGGTGTTCAGCGCCATCTGGGCCCTGGAGCTGCCTCGCATCCCAACATGTCGCAGTCGACGCCCACAGCCGTCACCAAACGCAAGGTGATGGGTCGTATGGACACCGCTCCTGCCGAGTCCCCCTCCAGCTCCGTCACGCCAAATGCTCGTCCACGCATCATCCGAGCTCAACATGGCTACTCTTCGCCTTCCCTCTCCAACACGACCACACCGACTGCGTCCCGTCCTATCGCAGGCACTGGACGCGCGCGTGTTGACATGTCGGCGTTCGCAAGCCCAGCGCAATCCAGCCCAGCCATGTCTCCCTCTACCAGTCGGCCCATGTCGGCATCCTCGGCCGCTTCAGCCAACATCACCGCAAGGCTGTCTGCTCCATCGCCTGCCGTTCGGGCTCACACACCCTTGCACGCCAAGTCAAGCTCGTCCACAGTTGGCGTCACTGCATCATCCTACAAGCTCCAAGAGGCCCGCATCGATCCACCAGTCGACCCAAACCTCGCATCTCTACGCTCACCCAGGATACGCACCCGCAACGGCAGCGTCGATCTTTCCGCCTCGCCTTCTGTTGCATCGCCCTCGTTGAGACCTCCACCAGCTTCCCAGTCCATGGCCTCGATCCCGAGAGCCGAACAGTTGCAGTTTCAGAAGCCCTTAGCGACCGCCGCGTCACCTCGCCCCGCTCCAGCCCTGCCCACTCGCCAGCTGCTGTCACCTCAACGTCAACAAGCGCCTGCAGAACAGGCAGCGCTCAGGGCTACGATTCGGTCTCCTTCACCCACCCAAACAGCGGCATCAGCCCCCTCTATCGGACGCGCATCATCTCTTCAAAACACGACGCAACCACACACTCAGCTCTCGTCAGGCCGACAAACGCCTTCAATAGCCTCGGCACAGGCATCGGCTGGAGGAGGCACCGCACCGGGGAGACCAGTGAGCGACTCTACATCCAGCACGCCCGCCGACGATCTGCCAGCGCCACCACTCTCGGCGGGCGAGCGTTGGCCCGATAGTGCATCGGGCGGTTACTTTCGACCTGATCAGACGCCGGCCGCGTCCAACTGGCGCGCTTCTTTACGTTCCGGCTCTACATCCCAGCGTGCCGCCATCCCATCTGCCTTCGCGGATCTCGCGGATGGCCTGCGTTCGCCGCGTCGCTCCGAGGACGCTCGCAGCAGCTTCGCCTCGAGCTCTCATTCGGCCTTGATGGCGAGCTTGCCGCTGTCTCCGACCTCGGACACGCCGCGATCTCCCAGCGAGGCTGGCGAGGCCGAGGAGGCTCGCATCCACCGCAAGCTGCTCGACTTGGAGATCACCAACAAGAGTCTCTTGGCCATCAACTCGGCACTCGAAGTCACCAAGCTCAAACAGGCCAAAGAGATCAGGGAGCTCAAAAGGCGTCTCAGAGAAGGCAGGAGTCTCTCGTTTGGAGCAGTGTCGCGCGACTCTGTTGGGAGTGGCGTGTTTAGCGACGATGACGCTCTCGAGTCGGAGAGCGACGAAGATGCGGGCGAATTCATCATGGCCAGGGAGGATCCGGAGTTGGAAGCGGCGCATCAGCGATGCAAGGACTTGGTCGATGGGATGGTCGAGCAGGCTCGTCGAGCCATTCTGGCCGAGTACGAGGCGCCGGAGAATACGGGCGGCAAGGTGCTGCATCCCGCCGAGATCGAAGAGATGCAACGCGTCGCCGAGGAGGGCGACGAAACGGGAGCCGATACCACGTTCGCGACCGACCTGCTCGAGACATCCATCACTTTCGACCACTCGTCGGGCGACACGAGTCGCGAAGATCTGCCAGCAAGCTCGTCCCTGCAGCTGCCCAACGGCGTCCATCTCCCCACCGCTGCAACGTCCTCGAATCTCTCCGATGATGCCGTTGACCACGTCCTCAAGCAGAGCAGTCCATATGCAAGCGGTGGAGACGTTTCCATCGACTGACGTTCGTGTCTGCAACTTGAGCCTCAGCGACAGCTTTCTTCTGATACCAATCGCCCTATTGTCACTTGGCAATGATACCCCCCTCTTTCTCTGTCTCATCGCCGGTACGACTGGCTCACGGAGATGCGAGAGCTTTACACCGCTGAGAAACATCTTCTTTGCGGTCCAGTCCGACCCAGCCAAGTTGAGAGCTGCCGTGAAGGGGTGTCACATGCTCATCCATCAAGAACCGCACAACTGGTGTCATCTCGACACTCTAATTGCGTTGTGATGACGAGAAGCTCAGGCTGCCGATGTGGCCGGGGTCGTGCTTTCTGCTGTTGAGGCGTCTGCTGCAGCGAGCAATTCGTCGACAACGATATCGAACAGGCTGTAGACCAGATGCTTGTTGAGCCTCTTGTTCTGGAGCGCCGAAAAGACGCGTCTGGTACCCTTTCGGGCGTTTTCACGACCGACAAAGTTGGCCGCGAGTTCGGGGATGAGGCTTGCGAGTTTGCTGTTTGCATTCTCCCTCAGTGCGTCCTTCTCCGCCGCCGTCCTGGGCGGTGTAGGTTCCTTGAGCACGCCCTTGGGCCACAGGCTCGCCTTGAACGTCGCGACGTAGTTCGTCAGCGATGGAGGCGCCAGTGCCGTGATGAACGTCTCGCGAATCTTGCGTTCCACAGTCGAGCCGAACAGCTGCTGAAGAAGGATGATAATCGCCTGGCGTCGCAGCCAGTTGTTCTTCTCGTGCAGCTCGAAGACCTCGGTGAAGAGATCGCAGATGGGCTCGGTCCAGTACGTCGTGCCTGCACCGGCGGCCTCGCGCAACTCGGCGGGCGTAGCATTCTTGTCCATCGCCTGCGAGACCATGTCAATATCGGCGATGCCCTGCACGAGCGAGTTGCCAGACTTGTTTTGCACCTGCGTCGACAGACGTTGCACCACCACATCCAGCATCGATGGTCCGATCCCAATGAGGTCATCGAGTCCCTCTGCAACGCCCGTCATGCCCTTGAAGAGCGTCTTGACAAGTCCGCCACCTGCCGGAGGTTTCCTGCCTGGCGTCGCGCTCGTCGGATTGGCTTGTGGCGGAGTTACGTGACCGCCATCCTCAGCGACGCGCATGTCAAGACTGGAGATCGGAGTCGAAGGCGTCTGCGAGAGAAAGTGCCCGAGCTCCTCGCTTTCGCACGCCACTCTGAGCTTGACAAGAGCCTGCAAGTACCTCTCGAGCGCCGCCTTCCTTGCGTCTACGAACGGCGCGTGAACGAGGCCGACCAGGCGCTTGCCAGGAAAGTCGGATTCGAGCGCGCGCACTTCTGCGAAACGCTCCTTGAGCGACTGGTGCAGAGACCAGAATTCCGAATACCTCCTCCCGACGATCCAGCCTCGCGCAGTGGGGCTACCATCAGCGCTCTTCGCTGCACCTCTCGACCTCCCAGCACCGGGCTCGGTGATGCCAATCTCGATGAGGTAGACGGCAAATTCCTTGCCCTCGTCGTCGGTCGAGATCATCGTGTCCTGGATCGAGATCTTGGTGTGGCCGGGAATGAGCTGGGTCGCTGCCAGTTGCTGTTCGAGCTGGTTGCGTTGCCAGCGAGTGTCGCGCGCTTCGCGGCGTACCGCCTGAACCGACTGTGCCAACAGGCGCATTTCGCTGGATCGAGCTCCAGTCAGCTCTGCTTTCCTGGCGAGGGCATCCAGGATCTCTGCTTGTGCTTCGAGCTTCTCGAGATGCATGTCGAGCCTTCGCACTTCTTGTGGCAGGTTACCGATGCTGGTGGGCGCACCGTGCGGGGATCCGTCCTCGTTGCGGGTCTTGTTTTCTGCGGCTAGCGTTGTTGCATTACCTGCATCGCCCGCCTTGCGATGAGGACTGTTGGCGTCGGAGCCATTGGAAAGCTCGGCGTCGATGGCGAACCTGGCCGTTTTTGCAGCACTCGGGCCGAGAGATGCAAATGGCTGGCGGTTGCCGCTTTTGCTGAGGTCATCGTCGATGATGCTCTGCAGCACGGTCTGAAGTTCGTCGATCTTCTCGACATGGATGAAGTCAGAGCTGCTGTCGCCCCGATGATCCTCGGCCAGCTGGTCGTCGTGTGGTTCGTCGGCTTCGTCGAAGAGCGGGTCTTCACGAAAGAGCGGGGTTCTTCCGTCTGGGCCGACGTGCTGCGTCCGTCCTCCGATGAGGATGTCGAGGTTGTCGGACTTGGCACTCGCCTTGGACCTGCTTCCGCCGAGCGAGTCGCCAAAGAGGTCCGAGTGTTTTGCTTCGGGTCCGATGGGGGTATCTGTGCCGAAAAGATCAGCATGCTCAAAGCTTGGCTTTGACGGGCGGATGACGGGTCGTTGGGCTACCTCTGCCGAGGCGGCCGCGTGCTTGTGAAGGCGAGGCTGCGGGTCTGCAGAGAGTGAGCCGACGCTGGACGCGAGGCCGGCAGCAAGGTGCGGATTGGGATTGAGGTCCTGAGCCGCCTTGATGAACAAGTTGCCCTCGCGGAAGCTAGGCCAGTCCTCGTCCTCGATCTCTTGGTAGACCTGCTTCTGTGCGCGTAGGACATCGCGCCGGACGCGCCAGACGTGCAGGGCGGTGATGGGAGCATCGTCGCTGGCGTCCAAAAACTGGCGTGCACTGTCGACGTACTCCTGCGAAACCTTGATGGCGGGCGAAGAGTAGTAGACCGAGTCGAACATGCGGAGATCTTCCTTCAAAGTCTGCACGGCGGCTCGGGAAGGTGGGTCAGCCCTGGTAGCGGCGTTGCGTTGTTCCCTCTCTGCGAGCGGATCGGCGTCCGAGTCTTCGAGGGGGTTTTTGAAGGACTCGACGAGCATCCAGAACTGGACCAGGATGGACCTCTTGCGACGGTCCATGAATTCCATGAAGATGGAGAGGCTGGAAGGATTGAGAAGCACGTCGTGAAGCTTGACTCGAGAGGCGTTGGGGTCTGCACCTGCGGATGCTTTGGACGAGACATTTGGAACGCCCTTGTGCACGCTGAGCTGCGCGATTCTTTGCTCTGCTATGGAATGCGCGGTGTCGAGTCGGTGAAGATAGGATTGGAGCTTGGTGCGCGAGGCATCGTGCGAGTCATCGGAGGCGCGCTCGAGATTGAACTTTGTCTTGCGGATCTGGACAGCGATGTCGTTTTTGGTCCTACGAACTTCGAGAAGAGAGGAGGCGCTTCTGATGGACTTGAGGAAGGCGTCGAAGGACTTTTGATCGGGCTTCTTGGCATCTTGGGTCCAGGGCAGCAGGTTCTTGGCATCGATATCGACGAAAGGCACGGAGCGCGATCGACCAGGTTGCGAGGCCGAGGTGGAGTCCTGCTTGTCCAGGGCTTCACGCAGCTTTCCGACCAGGATTTTCTCGTGAATGACGGCACCTGCCTTTTGCTCGAGCAGGTTGTTCCAAAAGTCGGGATCGCAAATGGATTCGATGATCGCAAAGAGGACGGTGCAGCTGACCACCTCGCGGACGAGGATGTGCACCGAGGGGCTCTCGCTTTCTGGATATGGCATGACGGCGCGGATCATGCGAGCCGAGATGGCTCTGAGGTAGGCTTGCTCTGACGGCTTTGTGTGCGGACTGCTCATGTCGCCGACTGCGGGGTGTAGATGGCCATCTTCGAATTTGCGGGCGAGGAACAAGTCGGACTGGTCGCTTCCAAAGTTTGCGAGATGGGTGTGCGTAGAAGCGCCGCGGAAGTCGATCTCGGCTTTACGGTAGGAGTGGATGTGGGCGGTGATGCGGGGCATGAGTTTGCGAACGACGAGATCGGCATGGTCGATGCGAGAGGAGAGGGATGCGAGCCTGTGCAGCGCGTCTCGGAGGGTGTGCTTGACAGCTTCTGGGAATTCGGGTGCAGATTCGTTGATCGAGGGATCCTCGGAGCCGGAGGCGAGAGGCGTATGCCACTTGCAGACGAAATCGCGGAGGATGAGTTGGATGACGTCGTCGAGTGCGTAGGAGAGCGAAGAGGTGTCGTGGCTCGTGTGAAGGCTGGAAGCGGCGGAGTGAGGTTCGCGTGCCCATTTCAAGCGAGTGCGTTGCGCCGACCAAGCAGCTTGTGTGAGGAAGGCCAGTCGTGGCAGCGAGCGGAGTTGGTCGCTGACATGATGAGAAGAGCTGGCAGACTTGACGTTGGCGACGTGGCAAGCAAAGAGATATGCGACGACGAGGAAGAGGGACCAGATGAATGGGAGGAGCGGGGTAGCCCACAAGAAGCTGGACCAGTGGAGGCGCAGAGCTGCGTTGAGGAGCAATGGCGGCAGCAGCAGCGCTACGAGAGCGACGATGGAGGGCGACGAGGGCATTGTCGCCAAGGAGCGGCGCAATGGAAGCCAGCGGCGGGAGGATGCGCTCGGACTGAGGTCAGGGCGAGGCAGAATACATGCTTGCGATTGCCCTGTTCAGCCGAGGGCCGCAGAAAGAGGGTCCGGTAGCCACCGACGTGCGTGACGACGATGGTATTGGCGCAAGGTGTCACTCGGAAAGCGTGAAGCGTGGAAGCGACAGGGTCCAAAAGGTCCAAGCGTCGGACAAGGCGGCGGGCGGCGCATGTTGGATTCCAACCAATTTAGGCTGCGATTTTCTGGGAAAGCTCAGCAGACGTTGAGCTCTGAACGGCACACGCGTTACGCCGCGATTCGACGCGTGTCGACCGACTGGCTCACATCTGCGTCGACAGAGTCTAACACCGATTTAAAAATTCGTTCGGCGGAAGGAGCCGCACATGGCAGCTGATCGACGTGCGGAGCATACAGCGGCGCTGAATCGCCCGCATTGACTTGTCGGGGGGGGGGGGGGGG